CGAGACCCGTTCTAGTCTAGTTCCGTCTGGTTCGCTCGAGACCCGTTCTAGTCTAGTTCCGTCTGGTTCGCTTCCCTCGGGAGTGAGAGAGATGCGTGCGGCCTGACCCCAGAGCAGCAGGTGACCATGGAGGGCCTCACCATGCCCTGGTGGCCTCTGCTTGACCCGAGGGAGCGGGGACGGCGCCGCGAGGGCTGCGTTTCAGCCGTCCTGTGGGCTGCAGAGCGGGTGTGCTTGAAGAAGATGCCCTGCGTGCTCCAGGGGACACTGAACACACGCATGCAGACGCACGCGTACACGCATACACTCCAGCGCTCACGTGCTCACACAGGCACTTGTGCACACAACACACGCTCCCGCATACGTGGTAAACACGGTGCTTGTGCACACACGACACACACTCCCGGATACGCGGTAAACACGGTGCTTGTGCACACACAACACACACTCCCACATACGTGGTAAACACGGTGCTGGCTGGGCGGGGTGTGTGGCTCCGCGCTGTCGCTGGGGTCACAGAGCCTGCCTTGCTGTCCCAGCAGAGTTTGAAGAGCCCCGAGTGATTGACCTGTGGGACATGGCCAAGTCTGCCAACTTCACCCAGAAGGAGCTGGAGTCGTTCCGGGTAAGGATGCGGCTCTATTGGGCAAACATCCCTCCTGTTGCGTTCTCAGATAGCACAGAAAGGGTCTCTCTCCCTTCCTTTACTCACATGGGGCAGCAGGTTAGCATCCAGCATGGACCCGTTTCCCCTTGTCCTCCATGTTCTCCAGGTGACCTCTGCCCTGCTGTCCTGCTCACCAGCCCATGGGGGCCCCTGTGCCTTGTGCCTGCCTGACCCTAAGCACCTGCAGGAGGGCCGTAATGTCCCCTGTGGACGGAGTGTCTGCCCTCAGGGAGGCCGAGTGGGGGCGGAGGGCTGGCGGGAGGCGGTGCCGGCTGCCGGGTTAGGACGGAGGCAGTGAGGGCTGGCGGGAGGCGGTGCCGGCTGCCGGGTTAGGACGGAGGCAGTGAGGGCTGGCGGGAGGCGGTGCCGGCTGCCGGGTTAGGAGGGAGGCAGTGAGGGCTGGCGGGAGGCGGTGCCGGCTGCCGGGTTAGGAGGGAGGCAGTGAGGGCTGGCGGGAGGAGATGGTGGCAGTGGGAGCTGTGGGCAGTGAATGGATTCGGGAGTTGTTCAGAGGGAGAGACGTTGGGCTTGGGCTGCGACGATGAGACTGTAAAGGGGTGTCCACGTGCCCTGTAAGTCTCACCGCCCCCTGCTGCACTCCCCGCGGGTCACATAGGGCAGGGTTGTGATCAGGATGAGACCAGGGCCATCAAGAATGACTGGGGGCTGTTGGGAGTGTGGTGTTTCATGAGACGGAGAACGAGGACAGGAAAGAGGGTGAGCCGCTCTTTGTGGGGCTAGTGGGACGTTGGGGTGTCGACGTGTGTGCCCAGAACTCCCAGGAGGTGCGGAGGGCAGTGCCACCACAGGCCGTAGAGACGAGCAGTCACCCATGGTGTGGGAGCCGGGGCGCAGGGCGGAAACGGGGCGGCGCCTCCGTGAACAGCTCAGAGACAGTCAGGGTGAACAGAACGGGGAGGTGTTGGAAGTCAGACGGCGTCTGGGGCAGATGCAGCCACCAGGTCAGCGCTGCACGTGGACACAGGGGACATGGTTCCCACCCTTGCGGAGCTAACTGACGAGGGGACACAGGCCTTGGTTGGCCCCAGACCGGAGGGGTGAGGGACGCTCCTCCCGGAGCAGGAGACCCTCATCTGAGACCAAGTCCGTAAGGAAGACTGCTCTAGATGAGGGGGTGGCTGACTGCAGGTGGATTTCTAGAAGTGAGAGAGTGTGGGGTGCTGGGCCGGGAAGGGAGCGTTGAGTCTAGAGTGGGGGCCTAGCAGCACAGGCCACAGGGGAGCCTGGCGTAGGGCTACCAGCCGGGAGTCAGAGTGGTGTCCAGCCATGTGCAGAGACAGGACTGTGGGAATGAGGGCACAGGGACTGGGCTATGGGGATGGGGATGCAGGGAGAGGGCTGTGGGAACCAGGGGACAGGGGTGCAGGGATGGGGTTGGGGGCACGGGGTCAGGGCTTGAGGCCTGGGGATGGGGCCATACACAGAGATGGGGCTGTGGGGACGGGGCAGGGCCAGGGCAGAGCTGAATGGCTGCAGGTTCTGGCCTGGCCTCTGGGGTTGAGGGCAGCTGCTGGTCACAGGGACAGTGCATTGGGGCCACAGGGGTCAGGGTGCTGGTGAGGAAGGTGGGTGCTGGTGGTCCACCAGGGCTGTTGGAAGGGGCACGGGCATGCCTCGTTTCAGAGCCTTTACATTGAGTTACGGTGGTCTTAGCACAGAGCCCACCTGTCATCGTGACGCAGCGGGAGCAGTGGCAGCCCATGTCCCTCACTGTCCTCTGCTCCCTGAGCCCCATGTCACGCCACGCCGGCCCCCAGGCGGGCTGAGGAGAGTGACCCCGGCTTCCTGTGACCTAGGAGGAGCTGAAGCACTTCGAGGCCAAGATCGAGAAGCACAGCCACTACCAGAAGCAGCTGGAGCTCTCCCACCAGAAGCTGCGGCACGTGGAGAGCCTGGGCGACAGGGAGCATCTGAGCCGCAGCCGCGAGAAGTACGCGCTGCTGGAGGAGAAGGCCAAGGAGCTGGGCTACAAGGTGGGCCGCCGCCCCGCAGGCCCGGGATCCAGGCTCCTGCAGGGGGTCTGCACGGGAGGCAGCAGGCGGGGCCCAGCCTCTTCCCCCCACCCCCGTCCCCCTGCCTCCGTTTCCTCCTCCCCTCCCCCCCAGCCTGGTGAGTTTGGTGTCCATGTCTCAGACGCACCACCCCGCTCTGGGCTCCTGGGAGGGGCTCAGCTGGGCCGTGCCCTGGATACACAGGTGAAGACGCTGAGGTGGTGGGTGCCAAAGGCAGAGAGGGGCCAAGTACCAGGTGCCTGCTGTGGGGAAAGGTCCCATCCCCCCACAGCTGCAGGCCAGGGCCGGGGGCAGGGCCGCCATGGATGCTGCTGCCCTTAGAAATCAGCCTTTCCTGGTGTCCGTCCCACATCGCACATGGGGTGCGTTAGTTCACCGTCCTTCGCAAAGCGGGTGTAGCCCTGGTGGCACAGTGGTTCAGAGCTCGGCTGCTAACCGGGAGGTCAGCAGTGTGAATCCTCCAGGCGCTCCTTGGAAACCCTGTGGGGCAGTTGTCCTCTGTCCTAGAGGGTCACTGTGAGTGGGAATCAGCTCTATGGCAGGGGGTTCATGTGTTTTGCAAACCTAGCAGGAGGCTTCTCTGCGTACCCTCCCAGACGCGTCCGACCGCGGAGACTCACCTGCCCACCCCCATAGGCTCTTCTGCCACCTCTCCTCCCCCCATAGACACTCCAGCCCCTGTAGACTTGCCCGCCCCCGCAGACTCTCCACCCCCAAGGCGTGCCCACCCCAGAGGTGCTCCCTGGCGGGAGTTAGCGTCTCTCTGCAGACCTTCCACGTTTTCCAGGGCAGGATCGTGAGCGTGCAGCATGCCCGGGTGGTGGTGGACTGTGTGTGTTGGGCTGACGCCGTCCCTCGTGCGGGCTTTGTGGGCCGCCTGTGTTGGTTCTTCAGGCTCTGTCAGGGGCCCCGAGGTGGTCCCGGTGTGGGGCTGCACAAGCACCCTCTGCTGTCCCAAGCACGGGCCGAGCTTTCCGGGCAGGTGCCGGGAGCACAGCGTCAGCTAACTAGAGCTTGCGTGCGTGGCCGTGTCCGCCGACCATCAGGATACTGCTTCGTCACGCGTGCCAGCAGAGGCACGAAGCAGCCTGGGTGTCCTGGTTAAGGAGTGTGTGTGGATCCCGCACACTGGATGCCTCAGCCCTTCCAGCAAGAGGAATCCCTTTACAGGGACCAGGCTCTGGCTGAGATCAAGTGATTAAGTGAAAAAAGTAAGAGACAATGTAAGAATGTGCTTATGAATACGTAGAAAACTCTAGAAACCGCCCATTTGGTCGTCTCTGGAAGGAACTAGGTGGCAGGGGGCCAGGGGAGGAGGGAGACTCTGCTGTACCTGCTGAATTTGGAACTACATTAAGAAAGCCACTGCCATCAAGTCCATTCCAACTCAGCGACACTCCCGGGCAGGGTGGAGTCCCCGCCCCAGAGTTTCCAGGGCTGTGGGCTTTACAGAAGCAGACTGCCAGGCCTTTCTCCCACGGAGTTAGCAGCCAGGCACTTAACCACTGCGCCCCCACGGCTCCTTTGAACTTCTGTCACCTACTCAGAAATAAGGAAAGGCTGAAAAGAAGGCAGAAGCACCAAGAGGAAAGGCTGCATTCCTGTGCCTCCGTTTTGGCAGGGTGGGGTGGGGAGGGGCAGCACAGGCTCAGATACCCGTCAGCGCGGGAAGCGGGGCCCAGAATTACATCCGCCCGTGAGAAGCATTCATCTGTGACAGGGAAAGATGACAAAGGCGCGGCAGGTCGCCATGGTTCTGGCTGAGAGGCCCATGCAGAATTGAGTCTGGGGCCACGCAAGGGTGGGCGCAGGTCGCGAACCCGCACCTCGGCCTTGCTGGGTTTTGTGAGAACTAGAAAAAAGGCACCTGGCGCACGGCGAATCCTCCGCAGAGTCGGCCACCCTGCGGTAGTGGCGACAGGTCGGAGGCGTTTCCCAGGGCAGCAGCCCCTTGGGGTCTGAGGTCAGCCCCCTCCTCCGCTCAGGAAAGCCGGCGGGAGGAAGGGGAGCCCGAAGGGAGGCCGTGTTTGTCACGTCTCCGCTCACTGCCTTCAGATGTGACGGCGTGGGTACGCGACACACCCCAAGCGCCCGTTCTCTGCAGAGCCGTCTGCTTCCAGCTGCTTGCTTGTCGTGCTCGCTGGCAGTGAGCGGCTCTGTGAATTGGGTCTGATTTCCGGCTGGGTGGGTTCCTGTGGGGGAGAGAAGCAGAGTTCCCGTTGCGTGCACTCCGAGCCTGCAGGGAGCTGGCTTCTGCCCTCTGACACTTGCTGTCCGTTTCAGGTGAAGAAGCACCTGCAGGACCTGGCCGGCAGGGTCTCGAGAGGCCGTCACAATGAGCTCTGAGCCACAGCGGGAGGTGGCGTGCTGAGGACGGTCGAGGCGTCGGGAGCTGGGGACCTGCCTCTGGGGCTGGCCGTGGGGAAGGCTGTCCCAAGTGACTTTGGAGCTGCCACTGAGTGAATGGACAGGGGAGGGTCTTGATGACCGAGGAGGATCTCTGCTGTCGGCCGTCTCCGTGGTCCCGGCTCTGGTTGACAGACTTTTTTACTCCCAGACGAGCGTGGCAGTGTCTCTCCAGGGAAAACGGTCCCAAGCTGCTCTGTGCCACAACGGCACAGCTGTGTCAGATCTTGTAAATCTGCCGCTGGGCACGTGTGTGTGGCATCCTAGAAATACACCACGCTCCTGACACCGTCAGCCGGCAAGGATGAGCCCTCTGTCCCAGCGCCGTCCGTCTCGGTGCTGGCCTGTGCTGGCCGACAGGATTCACTCGGTGGAGCCCGTGGCGCTTCTGAGTCCGCTGCTGATGCTGTGTCCTCAGTCCCTGCTTCCCGCCCTTCCCCTGACACTCTCTGCACCCCCCGCCCCCCCCACACGCGCACACGCGCGCGCCTGTCTTTGCTGATGCCTGTTGAGCAGGAAGGACCAGGGGGCGCTGCCGTCCCCTGCACATGTGGCGCCCCTCCCCCAGTTGGGCAGCACACAGCTCTGAGTTGGAGCTGTGGGTGGCAGTAGGCGGATGCCTGGATCCGCAGGTCACAGAAGGTGGGGGCGCTGCCCCCCCCGCCCCGCCGTGCTGCCCCGAGGGAGATGGGCTGGCTGGGGGCATGAGGGGCTGCAAAGCCTGTGTCCGCCTGAGCGCCACTGCTCACCTAGAGCCTGTGGTGTGGGGCCTGCACCCAGCCCGTCCCTGAAATCCCAGCAGCGGGATCCCCATCCAGGAACGTGACACGACCCTCATGTTTGAACCACCTTTCAGCTCTGGTGATCTCAGCAAAGGTCACAGCCAGAGAGCGCGGACTCAAACGCACGTGCTCTGGCTGCTCAGGAAAAGTGAAGGACCAGAAGCGTAGGGCGTGAACTGCTGACAGGTGCTGACACGTGGTGACAGCCCAGCACGTGGCACCTACAGATGTCCCCATGGCTGCCGTCCCACTCCCAGAGGGGTCCCTGGTGAAGATAGGGCTTTTTGCCGGGCCCTGGAATGCCACCCGCACGCCCACCCTCCACCTGCACAGCCACCACCAGGGGCCTCCATGTGTCCACCACACACCAACCAGAGGGGTCTGTCCTTCCTAGCATGCAGTGCCACTCGTGACCTCACGGGCAGGGCAGGGGGACTGTCCCAACTCAGTGACACCACATCCAAGGGGCAGACATGCTCATTGGCCAGGGTCTCCACGTTCCTACCATCAGGGCTCAGAGCCGGCCTCCTGGCTCCCGGCCACCTGTGGTTCTCTCAACAGCTCGAGTATTCACTAGGGTCCCGACTGTAGACCTGGGGGGAGGGGTGCACAGTCACCAGCAAGCACTGCGCTGACCAGCCTGGGTGAGGCTGGGCCCAGGGTGGGGGCCAACAGAGGGGACCCTGTATTCAGTTCACCATCACCGAGGGCCAGACACTTCCAGGAGCCCCTGGGTCTTAAGTCACGTGCAAGAGAACTGGGTGCAGCTTTACTAAGGGCTACTCTAGCTTCTTCCCCTGGAGGAAAGAATCGTGTGGTCCCTGGGCTGGCAGGTGAGTAAATGAAAAATGAAAGCACCCTGAGCTGGGTGCCTGTGGCTGCACTGCTTTAACTTCTACATGATCATATCAGAGTGAGACATGCATTCACAAACGTGCACAAAGCATACGACCCCAGCTCAGTGAAGCAGGTGAATTATTCCAAAATGAATTAGGTAATCGACACACAGCTCAGGAAGTAGCTATTACAGAGCCCTCCCTCAGGCCCCTTCTCTATTTTCTGCAATGGTTTGGGTAGGCTTGCTATTATTTCTTTCTTAAATGTGTGATAGAGTTTATGAATGAAGCCAGACCAGCCTGGAGTCTTCTTTGTGCTAAGGTTTTTTTTTTTTTTTTTTTTAAATTGAGAATTCAATTTTTTAAAATAGACTGGAGGCTATTTAGATTTTCTGTTTCCTCGTATCATATTTTTAAGATATTTGTCAAGGAATTTCCTCTAAACTGTCAAAATAATTGGCATAAACTTGTTCCTAATATCCCTTATCTTCTTAGTGTCTGTAGAACCGATAGTGACAGTCTCCGTATTCCTCATGTTGCTAATTTAGGTTTTGTCTTTTTGTCCCTGATGAGTCTAGCTAAGGGTTTTTGAATTTTACAGGACCCCCTTCCAAGAACCAGCTTTTGGGTTCGTTGACTTTATTCTGTGTTGTTGTTTTCATAGATTTCTGCTGCTATTTTGTAAATTTCCCTTGTTCTACTTAATGTGCCCATAATTTGCTCTCCTTGTTCTAGCTTCTTACGGTAGAAGCTTAGATCATTGATTTTGAACCTTCTTTTCTAACAGTTGTCAGTAACTGACAGTGTATCAAGAAGATAGAATTAGTAAGGATATAGAAGCTTTGGGCAATACATTTAACAAGCTTGCTCTCTTTATGCCAATTAGAGAAAACATCCTTCTCAGGCACACATAGAACATTCTGGAAATTGACCATGTACCAGGACACAAAGCAAGTGTCAGTAATTCTCACAGGATAGAGTGACACAGATCACATTCTTTGACCACAGTACAGTTGAGGAAATCAATAACAAGGCAATTTAAAGAAATTTCAAATACACATGGGTCAAAGAAGGAACCGTACCAGAAATTAGAAACTATTTTGAACCGAATGATAATGGAAATAGTACATGTCAAAACGGGGTAATGTGGCTAGAGTGATAACTGAGGGAAATTTATACCCTTAAATGTTTGTTTTTCAAAAGAGGAAAGGAATTTCCAATTCCAGTAATGACAGGCTAGGTTATTTGGACTAACACGCTAAAGATAAATATGCTGCATTAAATGCATCTCCTTACGAGCAGTGAAAATCTGGCAACCTAGGAAGGAACGGCCAAAATTTAAGGTAAAGCAGGAGCTCAGGAGTGCCTTTTGCCCTAAGGGCTCCAGGAAGACACGGGCTTTAGTCTTTAGTCTCCGTGATCTCACTCAGTGAAGAGGACAGAAGTCAAGGCCCCAGGCCTGCCTACGGTGGGAGTCTGGAAACCCTTTCTGATGACTGGGGCCCCTTAAGCTATACCTTCAGGAAGCGTGAATCAATACGAACCCCCTTCTGCCTACTCCAAGAAAGGAGGGTTAGAAGAAAGTCCTGCTCCTGACAAGATCTGACCAAGGGCCATCCCTTTATAAATTGCTCCCTGGATCAACCACTTGTGTGGTACAGAAAACCCCAATCTACAAACTTGGCTTTACAGTGGTTCTAGCTTGGTGGTGCCCCAGCACCTGGCTGAAGTTCACATAAACAAGCCTCTTTACCCTTGGAAATTACCTTAAGTTCTCAAACACAAAAATAATTTTTCACTAACAATGAATAGCATAGGGTTGAAAATCACTGAGCACAGAAGACCCCATTAGTAAAAGCCAGCAGGAATAATAGCAGAAACTGACCAATAAAGACTTTCGATAGTGAAATGATCAGAGATTGTTGTTAGGTGCTGTCGAGTCAGTTCTGACAACAGAATGAAGTACTGCCTGGTCCTGCGCCATCCTCACAATCCTTGCTATGTTTGAGCCCATTGCTGTAGCCACTGTGTCATTCCATCTCCTTGAAGGTCTTCCTCTTTTTCACTGACCCTCTACCAAGCATGATGTCCTCCAGGAACTGGTCCCTCCTGATAACATGTCCAAGGCATGTTAGACGAAGTCTTGCCATCCTTGCTTCTAAGGAACATTCTGGCTATACTTCTTCCAAGACAGATTTGTTAGTTCTTCGGGCAGTCCATGGTATGTTCAGTGTTCTTCATCACCACCACAATTCAAATGCATCGATTCTTCGGTCTGCCTTATTCACTGTCCAGCTTTCACATGCATACGAAGCGATTGAAAACACCATGGCTTGGGTCAGGCTCACCTTAGTCCTCAAAGTGATATCTTTGCTTTTCAACACTTTAAAGAAGTCTTTTGCAGCAGATTTGCCCAATGCAATACGGCTTTTGATTTCTTGACTCCTGCTTCCATGGGTGTTGATTGTGGATCCAAGTAAAATGAAATCCTCGACAACATCAATCTTTTCTCCATTTATCATGATTTTGGTTATTGGTCCAGTTGTGAGGATTTTTGTTTTATGTTGAGGTGTAATCCATACTGAAGGCTGTGGTGTTTGATCTTCATCAGTAAGTGCTTCAAGTCCTCTTCGTTTTAAGCAAGCAAGGTTGTGTCATCTGCATAACGCAGGTTGTTAATGACTCTTCCTCCAATCCTGATGCCACATTTTTCTTCATATAGTCCAGCTTCTCTGATTATTTGTTCAGCATACAGATTGAATAAGTATGGTGAAAGGACACAACCCTGACACACATCTTTCCTGATTTTAAACCAGGAAGTAACCCCTTGTTCTGGTCCAACAACTGCCTCTTGATCTATGTACAGGTTCCTCATGAGCACAAATAAGTGTTCTGGAATTCCCATTCCTCACAGTGTTATCTGTAGTTTGTTATGATCCACATAGTCGAATATCTTTGCATAGTCAGTAAAACACAGGTGAACATTTCTGGTATTCTCCACTTTCAGCCAAGATCCATCAGACATCAGCAATGATCAGAGATAGACTATAAAATAGTCTTGCTTATTGTTTACAGAAATAAAAGGCTAGCTTGAAAATATCTTCAAGCAAACGGAAACTGGAATTACCTAACATTTGAAGATCCAAATACAATAAAACCTGTGAAAGCCGGAACCTGTGTAAGGCAGAAACTTGTCAGCAAAGGAAATCAGGTATTTTCCACTAAAGCGATAGAAAAGTGGTAAGACTGCGCCCCGTCAAAGGCAGAAAACTTGCGAGACACGTCTGACTTGATCCCCAGGCCTGCTGGCTCCTGCCCACGCTCCGGCTTCGCAGCAGCCCCTGGCCCGGCCCCTGGCCCACCTTCACACCTCATTAGGGGGATGTTTCCTGAGGGACCGTTCAGCTACCTCAGCATTGGGGAGAATGTGGCCAGTCCATGATCACACCCCTCAGCCGACCATCCCCTGCACACCCACCCCCGTGCCCCCATGGCCTCGGTCAGCATCTCCACAACTGCAGGAGGGATGCCAAGCAGTCAAGGTCACAAGTAAGGGGCCGAGGCTGGACTGAACCCCAGCTGCCTGTCTGAGCTGGTCACAGACCCGCTGGGGTCCTGGGCCCCACTTGCCCAATGCTGGAAGTTTAGAAGAAAGAAAAGGGAGGAAGGTCTTGCT